GGGGGGGGGGGGGGGGGGGGGGGGGGGGGGGGGGGGGGGGGGGGTGAGCCAGGACTTCACGGTGCATGCAGAACATGAGGTTAAAGGCTGGTGGCTAGGGCAGATGGAGTGCTGTGAGGAGCAGACGAGGCTGGGGTTGAATGGGGTACAGGAGGGTGGCATTGCAAAGCCCAAAGAGGAGACAAGGGCTGGAGCGGGAATGAACTGTGAAGGGAGGTGAGGAAGGCTTGTAGGGGAGATGAGAGGGGGGAGGCCAAGTTTATGGGAGCAGCCCAGGGGAGGGTGTGAAGCAGGAGGGGTCGGTTCTCTAAGGAAGGAGTGAGCCCATACGAGGGCAAACAGGCAGTGGAAGTCAGTATGTGGCTGACAGCTCAATAGTGCCCCTGAGCAGGAGTCAATCACGAGTGACATGACGGGGAATGGCCCATCAGGACGAGAAGAACAACAACAGACTGGTCAGTTCTATCACAGTGTTAGAGCTCTGTGGTGATGTGGGGTCCAGGAGCAGGGCTGGCAAATGGGCAGAGGACAGCCATGACATTAGGCATGAGCGTACACATTTGGCAATCTGGCTTTGGCAGAGAGCCAGACTGCAGTGCAGCACTGCAGAGGGATGCCTGAGGGGCACCAAGTGAGGAGCTATGGAGAAGAACTGTCGTGCTTAGTTTGTGTTTTCTTACCTGGGCATCTCGCAGTGCGACTGGCAAGCCTGTGTCTTCCATGTAGCCCTGCCCTCCAAAACACTCCAGTCCCTCAGAAATGACAGCAATCGCCTGCAAAACACAGAGCACAAGACTCCAGGATTTGAACTACAAGATCCAAATTACCCAGATGGAGAAATTGCTCATGCTGTCCTCCATGCTAATTACTATGTTGCAGCCAAACAGTTTTGGGTGCTGATCCTGCGGGGAAAGGGTTAAGTGGGTTATGCTGACTCAGTGAGGCAGGTGACTCGTTATCCTACATGGACATAAAGGGATTTGGAGGGACTCTCTGGGGAGAGGATCTAGGGCAGTGGCTCTCAATCAGGGGTTCATGTGTCCCTAGGGTGACACTGAGGTCATCCAGGGGGGTACATCAACTCATCTAGATATTTGCTTAGTTTTACAACAGGCTACATAAAAAGCACTAGCAAAGTCAGTACAAACTAAAATTTCATAGAATTACTTGTTTATACTGCTCTATATACTATACACTGAAATGTCAGTACAATATTTATATTCCCATTGATTTTATAATTATATGGTAAAAATGAGAGTACATTTTCAGTAACAGTGTGCTGTGCCACTTTTGTATTTTATGTCTGATTTTGTAAGTACTGTGTGTAGAGCAGGTTGGGAAAGGCGCCTACTCAAAGGGCCACTTGGTCAAAATCTTGAAGTTCAGCAGCTTATAGTGTCAACTGTGAGAGGCCAGCAAGTTGCCCTGAGAAGCAGACAGTAATCCCCATACTCCATTAATAAATAATGCAAAAAATAGTGCCTGGAAGTAAAGAAATTTGTTTCAAGACAAACACTTACCTCCCTCCCTGGATAAATGGATCCATTCAAACTTCTGAACACATTTAGAGAGAGAGAAATCTCCCCTGCTGTTTCTATAGAGTTAAGGTTGAAACTGAACTTCTACACAAACCCAAGCCCCTTTTTCAATTGCTCATAACTGTAGGAAACAAATTCTTTTGGGGAGTGAATTGTCTTTGCTTGGTCTCTGCCCAAAGGAGAATTCTCTTTTTTAATTTAGCAAAATATTTTCAGCCAAGTGCATAGGCATGCGCAGCACATTTCATTAGGGTGTGCACCCAGGGAGCCCCGCCCAAGCTCCGCCCCCATCCCAATCCACACCCTCCTACTTCCTGACCCCTGACTGCCCCCCTCAGAACCCCAACCCCCCCTGCTCCTTGTCCCCTCACGGAACCCTGCCCCTAACTGTCCCCCAGGACCCTACCCCCTATCTAAGCCTCCATGCTCTTTGTCTCCTGACTGCCCCCTCCTGAGACCTCCCCCACTGTAACTGCCTCCCTAGGACCCTACCCCCTACCTGTCCCCTGACTGCCCCGACCCTTATCCACACCCCCGCCCCCAGACAGACCCCCGGGACTCCCACGCCTATCCAACCACTCCCTGCCTCCTGACAGGATCCCCAGAACTCCCAACCCATTCAACCCCCCTGCTCCTTGTCCCCTGCCTGCCCCCTCCAGAGACACCCCCCGCCCTCAATCACCCCCCAGGACCCCACCAACTATCCCCACCAACTGTCCCCTGACAGCCCCGACCCCTAGCCACACCCCTGCCCCCTGACAGGCCCTCTGGGACTTGCACACCATATCTAACACCCCCATTCCCCATCCCCTGACTGCCCCCGAGACCGTCAGGCCCATATCCAACCCACCATGACCCGGCCCAGCCCCCTTACCACGCCACCGCTCAGAATAGAGTCCCCACCAAATCCCACCCCCTAGACATCCCCTTGACGTGATGGCACTTACGTGGCAGGTGCAGAGAGCGCCAACCAAGCTGGAGTGCAATGGTGAAAGAGCACTATGACTGACGTAAGTCAAAGGTCACGTGTAGCGCTGGGGAGGCAGCGATTGGCTGAGCGGGCCCGGGTGGGGGAGTAAGGGGGGTCGTGGTAGCAGCATGGGGTTCACTGTGTGACACAATTACAACAACTTTGTGCAGCTGCTAGGGAAGTTTGTACAGGCAACAAATACACCCTGTGCAGGCAGGGGGGACCCTGTCACCCCGACTCATAGGTGCTGACTTTTGGTTTTGCCGGTGGGTGCCCCATCCTGTCTACACCCCTTATCCAAGGCTCCATCCCCACTCCACCTCTTCCTTCCCCATCCCCCTAGACCCCCCTGAAAACCTCCTTCTTGCAAACTCCCTCCCCTAAACGCCTCCCACCAGCTGCTCACTCCTTTCTGCCCCTCCTGCCTTAGGGGCGAGGTGTGGGTGCTGGAGGATTACTCTGCCAGTTTTGAGGGGAGGCTATTTTCAACATTTATACATTTTCATTCTAGTTATTGAAAGTGTGTCTATCATTGGTATCTCCCCTTCCTGATGTTTCCCAGTTCTTGCTCTCCATCTGTGTCCCTTTTCCCATCTCTCTCTGCTCCCCACTTCCTGGTAGCTCTGTTTAGCAGCTGCTCCCACCCACGCACTCAAAGCAGCTCTGTCTCCCCCAAACCCCACCCCCTGCAGCCAGCCTAGAAACTACATGCCCTGACACAGAGAGAAATTTAATTCAACAGCCCAGCATAGAAATGGCCCATTCATTCATCCTGCTGTGTGGCCACTGTGTTGTTGCTCCAGCTCTTCCCAATCCCAGGGCTGCAGCCCACCCCCGCTTTGACTCCTTCACACACTCTACAACTTTTGTGGGAGGGGAGCCCCTGGTGGGACCATGGCCAAAGGAAGGGGAGTGGGGGCCAGTTGCTTACTCCACCAGGCTGCAGCAGCCCAGCACCCTGAAGCAAGAGGAGCTCAGGTACGGGAACCCACAAGGGGAGAGGCAACTCTAGATTTAGTCCTGAGTGGAGCGCAGGAGCTGGTCCAAGAGGTAACTATAGCAGGATCGCTTGGAAATAGTGACCATAATATAATAGCATTCATCATCCCTGTGGTGGGAAGAACATCTCAACAGCCCAACACTGTGGCATTTAATTTCAAAAGGGAGAACTATGCAAAAATGAGGGGGTTAGTTAAACAGAAGTTAAAAGGTACAGTGACTAAAGTGAAATCCCTGCAAGCTGCATGGGTGCTTTTTAAAGACACCATAATAGAGGCCCAACTTCAATGTAGACCCCAAATTAAGAAACACAGTAAAAGAACTGAAAAAGAGCCACCGTGGCTTAACCACCATGTAAAAGAAGCAGTGAGAGATAAAAAGACTTCCTTTAAAAAGTGGAAGTCAAATCCTAGTGAGGCAAATAGAAAGGAGCATAAATGCTGCCAAATTAAGTGCAAGAATGTAATAAGAAAAGCCAAAGAGGAGTTTGAAGAATAGCTAGCCAAAAACTCCAAAGGTAATAACAAAATGTTTTTTAAGTACATCAGAAGCAGGAAGCCTGCTAAACAACCAGTGGGGCCCCTTGATGATCGAGATACAAAAGGAGCGCTTAAAGACGATAAAGTCATTGCGGAGAAACTAAATGGATTCTTTGCTTCAGTCTTCACGGCTGAGGATGTTAGGGAGATTCCCAAACCTGAGCCGGCTTTTGTAGGTGACAAATCTGAGGAACTGTCACGGATTGAAGTGTCATGAGAGGAGGTTTTGGAATTAATTGATAAACTTAATATTAACAAGTCACCGGGACCAGATGGCATTCACCCAAGAGTTCTGAAAGAACTCAAATGTGAAGTTGCGGAACTATTAACTAAGGTTTGTAACCTGTCCTTTAAATCCGCTTCTGTACCCAATGACTGGAAGTTAGCTAATGTAACGCCAATATTTAAAAAGGGCTCTAGAGGTGATCCCGGCAATTACAGACCGGTAAGTCTAACGTCTGTACCTGGCAAATTAGTCGAAACAATAGTTAAGAATAAAATTGTCCGACACATAGAAAAACATAAACTGTTGAGCAATAGTCAACATGGTTTCTGTAAAGGGAAATCGTGTCTTACTAATCTATTAGAGTTCTTTGAAGGGGTCAACAAACACGTGGACAAGGAGGATCCAGTGGACATAGTGTACTTAGATTTCCAGAAAGCCTTTGACAAGGTCCCTCACCAAAGGCTCTTATGTAAATTAAGCTGCCGTGGGATAAAAGGGAAGGTCCTTTCATGGATTGAGAACTGGTTAAAAGACCGGGAACAAAGGGTAAGAATTAATGGTAAATTCTCAGAATGGAGAGGGGTAACTAGTGGTGTTCCCCAAGGGTCAGTCCTCGGACCGATCCTATTCAACTTATTCATAAATGATCTGGAGAAAGGGGTAAACAGTGAGGTGGCAAAGTTTGCAGATGATACTAAACTGCTAAAGTTAGTTAAGTCCAAAGCAGACTGTGAAGAACTTCAAAAAGATCTCACAAAACTAAGTGATTGGGCAACAAAATGGCAAATGAAATTTAATGTGGATAAATGTAAAGTAATGCACATTGGAAAAAATAACCCCAACTATACATAGAATATGATGGGGGCTAATTTAGCTACAACAAGTCAGGAAAAAGATCTTGGAGTCATCGTGGATAGTGCTCTGAAAATGTCCACGCAGTGTGCAGAGGCGGTCAAAAAAGCAAACAGGATGTTAGGAATCATTAAAAAGGGGATAGAGAATAAGACAGAATATATTATTGCCCTTATATAAATCGATGGTACGCCCTCATCTCGAATACTGCGTACAGATGTGGTCTCCTCATCTCAAAAAAGATATACTGGCACTAGAAAAGGTTCAGAAAAGGGCAACTAAAATGATTAGGGGTTTGGAATGGGTCCCATATGAGGAGAGATTAAAGAGGCTAGGACTCTTCAGCTTGGAAAAGAGGAGACTAAGGGGGGATATGATAGAGGTATATAAAATCCATGAGTGATGTGGAGAAAGTGGATAAGGAAAAGTTATTTACTTATTCCCATAATACAAGAACTAGGGGTCATCAAATGAAATTAATAGGCAGCAGGTTTAAAACAAATAAAAGGAAGTTCTTCTTCACACAGCGCACAGTCAACTTGTGGAACTCCTTACCTGAGGAGGTTGTGAAGGCTAGGACTATAACAGCGTTTAAAAGAGAACTGGATAAATTCATGGTGGTTAAGTACATTAATGGCTATTAGCCAGGATGGGTGAGGAATGGTGTCCCTAGCCTCTGTCTGTCAGAGGGTGGAGATGGATGGCAGGAGAGAGATCACTTGATCATTGCCTGTTAGGTTCACTCCCTCTGGGGCACCTGGCATTGGCCACTGTCGGTGGACAGGATACTGGGCTAGATGGACCTTTGGTCTGACCCGGTACGGCCTCTCTTATGTTCTTAGGTGTCCCAAGGTGAAGCAGGGCAGCATCTCCTGACCTGAAGCGGATACAGGGGAATGGATGCAAGGGAAGGAATTCCCCAGGAGCTGGGGCAGGGGGGTGTGTGTGTGGAGGGGGATCCAGGGGAAGAGAATCAATCCTTCCTTACACTGGGAGGAGGGGATGCTGATCAGCGGGGGAGGGGATAAATTGCCTCTTGGAGGAAAAGCCCCTCAGGCAGGCTTGATCTGGGCATGGAGGAGGGGGAGATAGCTTTGAGCTGGGCAAGCATTACTTTCCCAGGCATAAGGGAACCATAGGGGTTGGAAGCTCCCAGAGCCTGCATAGGAGGGGGCTGGGCAGCATCCAAGACTTGGGGAGGCTGCTCATTTGCAGCTGGGGCTGGAGTGAAGCCCCTCTGGGCAGGTAAAGAAGGGGGAGGGGGCAAGCTGCAGGCCCCAGCCCAATTTCACTCAAAAGACACAAGGAAGAACTTTTCTTAAAGGAGCCATGTCCTTTGGTTTGCCCCCCTGCCCAGCACTAAGGGAGTCTGGAGCTGGTTTCTCCTGACTGAAGGGGGAACACAGGTCCTGGGGGAAACACCAGGGTGGGCTGAGACTGGCTGGCTCAGTCCTTGAGAAAGCCCCTGGCCCATACACCCCCCAGCAGTCCCCTGGAGCCAGCCCAGAAGCTGCCTGCCTATCTCCCCCCAGGCCCCTGCCGAGAGGCTACCCACCCCTCTGCAGCTAGCCCAGAAGCTGCCGTGCCCTGGCTGCTGGTCCCCCCTAGCCCAGCTTCCTCTAGCCTGAAAATCAGAAAGACTCACTCAGCTCTGCCTGCAGTATCCAAGCTGCAGTAGGGGCAGGGGAAACAGCTGATAGGCAGGACTTCACCCAAACAGCTGATTGGCTACAGCCAGCCAAAGAGCTGATGAGGGCTGCTGCAGCATGCTAAATAGCTGATTGGCAGTTGCCAACAGCTGATCTCCCTGGGTGTGCTAAGCAGCCTTCTCCTTGTCCTCCTCCCCCCTCAGAGCCTCCAGCGGGGGAGAGGGGAGGAGCAGCCTTCCCAGACCAAGCTCAGGCATGATTAGGGTGTGCCTGGGCACACCCCGTGCGCACGCCTATGGCCAAGTGTACACACACTTTAAAAAACCCACACCACTGTTCCATCTGTTCTGATCAGACATGTGCCTCATTCACCAATCACTGATCGGAACACACCTCTCCCATGCCCTATAGCTGACCTCCACTCCTCACAATGCAGAGCAATTAATTAACCCACCTGCCCTAACTGGCAGCAGTCATTCCATTGTTCTGCTAGCCTTGCAGGAGCAGGTTTTCCTCTTTCTACCCCAAGCCCTGGACATTGTATTGCTGCTGCAATTTGTATTCTCCCTGTAACTCATTCCTCCGTCCAGCTCAGGGTCAGTGACATGCGGCACAGAGCCCATCCCAGGCTGATCGAATGTGGCCACCCAATACCTGTTTCCCAGTGTAGAGCTTAGCGACTGGCGTCAGCAGCCTGAGAAGATGCAGGTCCTGCTCACTGGCCATCTTGGTCTCCTCTAATCCCAGCAGCCTGGCTATCTCCATGAGCATGAGAAAGGCCCCTCGAGTTTCCACCTGCAGGGAAAGAAGAAGCAGGGAGCATTCACGTGCAATCCCTATGGGCACAGGCATGCATCCACCACATCTGACCTTGTACCAGGAGACTGCTCTGCCCAGTCTGATATACCACAGGGGTGGGGTCCTCGCTCCCTTGGGAGTTCTGTAACCATGGGCCAGTATTAGGAGTGTGACAGTGCCACTTTTTTAGACACCAGATCAATACTCCTTCCAGGCACCTGATACAATTCTCAGCTATACCATGACATCACAAGTCCACATCCTCCCACAGTGATGCACAGGACACAAGATGACATCCTTCCAAAGATGGAAGGATGGCGTGGATTGCACCCTCAGCAAGTTTGCAGATGACACTAAACTGGGAGGAGTGGTAGATACATTGGAGGGTAGGGATAGGATACAGAGGGACCTAGATAAATTAGAGGAATGGGCCAAAAGAAATCTGATGAGGTTCAACAAGGACAAGTGCAGAGTCCTGCATTTAGGATGGAAGAATCCCCTGCACTGATACAGACTAGGGACCGAGTGGCTAGGCAGCAGTTCTGCAGAAAAGGACCTAGGGGTCACAGTGGACGAGAAGCTGGATATGAGTCAACTGTGTGCCCTTGTTGCCAAGAAGGCTAACAGCAATTTGGGCTGTATAAGTAGGAGCATTGCCAGCAGATCGAGGGACGTGATCATTCCCCTCTATTCGGCATTGGTGAGGCCTCATCTGGAGTACTGTGTCCAGTTTTGGGCCCCACACTACTAGGAGGATGTGGAAAAATTGGAAAGAGTCCAGTGGAGGGCAACAAAAATGATTAGGGGGCTGGAGCACATGACTTATGAGGAGAGGCTGAGGGAACTGGGGTTATTTAGTCTGCGGAAGAGAAAAACGAGGGGGGATTTGATAGCTGCTTTCAACTACCTGAAAGGGGGGTCCAAACAGGATGGATCTAGACTGGGGTCTCAAACACGCGGCCCACGGGGTGATTTTCTGCAGCCCGCGAGCCCCTCGCAGCCCCCCCGCCCTCCCCCAGTGTTTACCAGAGCGGCTCCGGACAGACGTGCACCGGGAGCAGGGCATCCTCCCTGCCTGCCTGCCCTGCGCAGCTCCAGGAAGAGGCTGGAACATGGGGAAGGGGGGGCGGAGGGGCTGTGTGTGGCTGTTGCTTGAGGCAGTGCCCCCAGCAGCTCCAATTGGCCGGGAACGGGGAACCAAGTTGCAGTGGGGGAGGTTCAGGTTGGATATTAGAAAAAACTTTTTCACTAGGAGGGTGGTGAAGCACTGGAATGGGTTACCTAGGGAGGTGGTGGAATTTCCTTCCTTAGAGGTTTTTAAGGTCAGGCTTGACAAAGCCCTGGCTGGGATGATTTAGTTGGGGATTGGTCCTGCTTTGAGCAGGGGGGTTGGACTAGATGACCTCCTGAGGTCCCTTCCAACCCTGATATTCTATGATCTGCAGAGAGGCAGGAGCACTGCAGGTGCAACCACTTGTCAGGACCTGCAAGGACTCGGGCTGATTGCTTGATAAGTGGCTCATTTCCCTGGCAACATGATATTAAGCTTTTCTGCATGCATCTGTTCTGATGTGCTCTGCAGAGGCCATTTAGACCAGCTGGCCATATCACTGTTCTGAGGACAGACTCAGAGATGCTAGAACCTCAACTTCTATGTTTGATAGTAATAGCTTGGAGATACTGCTGTCTCTCCCCCACCACCATCACCCTGAAAAAGGATTTTTATATATTAGGTGGGGATGAAAGAGAAACTTGTCCCACCATGGGGCCAAGCATTTGCACGATGTTACATTGCTCAGAGCGAGAAGGAAACGGAAGGTTTGATTGGGTTTGGGGAAGTGAGCAGGGCCCTTTGTATTTTAGATCCCTTTTTGGACTATAAGTTTCTGCAGGTTATTTTTTGGTGATTTACCATAACAAACAATATTTTCTTCTCTGATCTCTGTAAAGCAGAGAAGGACCAAGCTGCTAAATCCAGACCCAGGTCTGAAACCCCTTCCACAGCCCAGCTGATTGATCAGAGCCAGAGTGCAGGTTCACACCCAGCTCGCTTCTCTAGTCCTCAGTCCTGTTTGTCTGTATATTGTTATTATTTATTTCTATTACAGCAGGGCCTAGAGCGCCTGAGCAGGATCAGGGCCCCACTGTGCCAGGTGCTGCACAGACAGAGTGGGAGGCACCCACTGCTCTGAAGTGCTTACAGTCCCCATAGAATTTAAATAATAGAGCACCATGTACTGCACCAGGGATTCCACAAATCGTTCAGGGATTATTTTGGACATGGGTGAAACCCACTCGGGTGCTCTGTCCACCTCTACTGGTGGCTGGGTCTCCTGTCAAAGTTAATGAGCCTGCTATGGCCTGGGCTAATGGAGCTGGGTCTTTTAGCTCAGGCCTCTGAGGCTCATGCTTTGAGATCCAGAGGTCCCAGGCTCAATTACACGCCCAAGGACAAGGTATAACATGCGCTTAGGTTACATGAAGAACAGGAGTACTTGTGGCACCTTAGAGACTAACAAATTTATTAGAGCATAAGCTTTCGTGGGCTACAATCCACTTCTTCGGATGCATATAGAGTGAAACATATATACTCTGAAACCTGTCATTATGCAAGGCACTGCATTTAGCCGTATGGAGTGGAAATCCATCAACTTCATGAAAAAAATATATGTTTCACTCTATATGCATCCGAAGAAGTGGGTTGTAGCCCACGAAAGCTTATGCTCTAATAAATTTGTTAGTCTCTAAGGTGCCACAAGTACTCCTGTTCTTTTTGCGGATACAGACTAACACGGCTGCTACTCTGAAACCTTAGGTTACATGGGCATCCATGTACTTCTATGAGGAATAGCTCTGCACCTGTCTGCTGTTTGAGCAAATCCAGGCTCCTGCAGAGTGGCTGAATCCCTGCTCAGCTCAGCTCACATCCTGCTGGAGTACATGTCACATCCCTGTCTAATATGCCATGGATCGATACTAGCCAGTTCTGGCAGCCTTGTGCCTAAAGCAGGGTTGAGAGTGTCAGTAACAAAACTCCACAGAGCTCTGACCAGTCTGGTTATGAACAACAGTGGCAGGTGGCCTTGCTGATTAACAGCTCCCTGCAGCAGTGGTGAATCTTTGCCTTGCGGTCTGAGTGAGCGAGCGAGCCAGCTGAGTGCGAGGAAGCCTTACCTCCAGCCGGGCCATGGTTTGCATGTGCAAGGGATGGTCCTTGATGAGCTTCCCAAAGACGACCCGCTTGCTGGCATACTCTCTGGCCAGGTTAATCACCCTAGGGACGAAAGGGCAGTCAGGCATGGATAGGGTGACCAGATCAGAGATATAAAATATCGGGACGCGGTGGGTCCGGGTGGGGGCAGCGTGTAGCGGGCAGGGGCCTGGTGGGTGGCACGGGCCGAATCCCTGCTGCTGCCGGGGAGCCCCGCGCCTCTCCCTCCCGCTCGCGGCTGCAGCTCCTTCCCGGCGGGAGGCGCCTCCCGCCGCCCAAGGCCCACCCCGGGCACATGTGGTGCGTGTCCCCCGCGCCTAGTCTCCCTCCCGCCGGGAAGGAGCCACTGGAGCGCAGCCGAGCGGGAGAGGCACGGGGCTCCCTGCCGGCAGCGGGACGCGCGCCGCATGTGCCCAGGGTGGGTCAGGGGGCAGGAGGCGCGTCCTACCGGGAAGGAGCTGCAGCCGCGAGCGCGAGGGAGAGGCGTGGGGCTCCCCAGCAGCAGCGGGGATTTGGCCCACGCCCCTGCTCTGCGCTGCCCCGCGGGCTGCAGGGCTGGAGCAGCCTCCGCGCTGCTCTCCCGGGCCCCCATGTGCAGCAGCCCAGGGGCCGGGCAGGAGCCCTCTGGCGCGGCGGGGGGCTCAGAGCTGAGCCCCCCCGTCTCCCTCCCTTGCCAGCCCCCCTTTGCCTGCCCGCCCGGTGCCCGGGTGCCGGAGCTGACTCACCAGCTCCAGGATCCAGGCGCCGCCACCACTCCTCTCCCTCCCGGCTTGCGCCGCCATGCAGCTGCAAGCCTGGGAGGGAGGAGGAATGCTGCGTGGTTGGGGAAGAGGCGGGGCCAGGGCGGGGATTTGGGGAGGGGGATGGAGGGGACGGAGCCAGGGCGTGGGGGGGCGAGAGTCCCTCCGGGAGGGCAAAATTTCTTGTTTGTCCAGTGTCCCGACCAAACATTGTTCAGGACGCGGGACAAAGAAGCAAATATCAGGACAGTCCTGATAAAATCGGGACGTCTGGTCACCCTAGGCATGGAGGGTTAGTGGCTGCAGCTTTTACATTCCCATATATATTAAACCCATTTCCTAACTTCCCCTTTGAGCCATTCACAGCTTGGGGATGCAGAATAACCCTGCCATGGCAAATGGAAGTGATACTGTATAGTCAGCCTAGGAGACAGCTAACAGCAGTGCTTACTTTTCCCCATCACCCCAGCAAACCTCTTCCTGCTCACCCGCCTGTTGTCAAGTGCTGAAGGCTGGAATGCTGTTGCCTTGGTAATACTGTTTAGGTTGCTCAATGCATCTGTCCTTGGACTAGCAGCTAATGCAGCCTGCTAATTTAGCAGACCTCGATGTTACTTATAAAGAGAGCGCACAGGCACAGGGTGACAAAGGCACTTGGCCTGGTGTATTGCCCTCAAGTTGCAGTCCTAGCACCCTGGCTCCATGGTTACGGGTATGCTAACACCAGTGCCTGTGGCAAGGAGTGGCTCAGTCAGCAGCAAGAGTCTCTGCTCTCCCCTAGGCCATACAAAGGGTTAAGGCAAGGGACCCTGACATTTATAGCCTGAGACAACTTACCTACCACCCTGCCAGTTTCTTGACACGTTTGTTACCTCCCCTTGTGCCTGATATCTCAGACACAGCATCCCTATTCATTGTTCTGTTAAACCATCTGCTCTTGTACAAGATTGGGATGTATCCATACTAGCCTTCTGAAAGGTATTTGCATAAATATATAGTGTGTTATTCTTTTGCCAAGGCCAGGCCTACTTTGGTTTACAGCCTTTGGTTCAGGCCTCGAATCTGGCACCAGGCCCAGTGCTCCAGGCTCTCTATTACACCACCTAGCTCCCGGTTGTTATTAGTAATCATGCTTAGGATGGTAGTGCCAAAGGCCCAACTAAGAAGGGGGGCTCCTTGTGCTAGGCACTGTACTGAGTAGTGGACACTCCCTGCCCCAAACAGCGTCCAGTCTCAGCAGATCAGACAGATGCGGGCTGGGAGGAGGCAGAACATGCCAGTCGAACGAGCCGTGCACTAGCAGCACATGGCATGTTAGTGCCGTGAAAAAGAGGGGGCAGGGCAGGGCAGGGGAGAGGAGAATAAGAGGCAGGTATGGAGTGCCGCTAAAGGGAAGAGAGGGTGAGGGAGGGTTGGAGCAAACAACTAATCAGCACAGAGCAGAGAAAGTTAGCGAAAGTCCTACAGAGTTAGCTGGAATGTCCAGAGGTGCCTGCCTTGGTGGCTTCTGCCCACGCCCACTGGAGTCTCTGGCTGGCTGTCTTCTCCCCAAGGCCGTATGGCAGGGGTGCGGGGAGGCAGCGCCTGGGTCCTAGCAAAAAGTCTCTCTGGAGGATGTTTCTGGCCCCCAGTCCAGCCCCAGTAGATGCTTTGGGAGGGTCTAACATGGCTCTGGCGTGTCAGTCTCAATGCCAGCTCAGCCAAGAATTGCTCAGGTGATGCTGGCCTGATCCTCAATGAGGACAAGTGTCAGTGATTAGTTCTAGGCAGGCCAAGGGCTTGAGTTCAGCTCCTGCTGCGACCATCCCTCAGGTCCCTGGGAAGTTTGTCATGCTCTTTCCCTCCACACCTGCTAGTTCACACCTTCCCACCACCTCCTGAGCTCCTACCCTGAGTGGATGCTGACATGCCTACCCAATCCCACCAGGAGGGACAGCAGTGACAAACCCTTCTCTTGCACTCCCTGGCTGTCCCAGCAACACCAGTAGGAGAAACAGCCAGTCCCTGAGCCACTGCTGGCTCCCCACACCCGCATGCACACACGCCACATTCGTCTCTGGTGCTCCTGCACTCCTCCCTTCCCAACCTCACCCCTGACTCGGGGGAGGTGACAGCGGTGTCTTCTCTCCACCGCTCCCCAGCAGTGGGGACATGAGTGGAACCTCCACTATCCCCCCATTTGGATCCAGCTGGGCTCCCACGTATTCATAGGTGGCTGGTGCCCTGTTGTGCCGGATGCTTGTCAATCTCTGACTGGGGCCCTGGGGCGCTGCTATAACACCAGCAGCAGCCAGAGTGGCTCAGGATCTAGCTTGAGCTGCCACATGTCCCGCTGACAGCAGAGCACTTGGGAGCCCTCCCCGGGTGGAAAGTCAATGGAGCTTTGTCAATTTACATTTCTTCACCCGGAGAGCTATTGATGGGAACAACGTACATTTGGGGGCATTCTTTGCGACTCTTAAGACAGGAGGTTGCCCAGCAAGTGTGGCCTCTTGCATAGGCTCTGCTGCACATTATTATCTGCCCTGCTGTATGCCTAGGACCCCCCTCTGCTAGGCACTTACAAACACAGAGCTAAGAGGCGGACCCTGCCCCAAGCAGCTCACAAGCTGAGCCAACATTAGGAAGTCCTACTTGAAACAAAAACAGCAAATAGGACGTTTGAAAGCCAGGATGTTGTGAGATAGAAACAACCTTCTCCTCCCACTTCCCTGCATCACTTAGCTCCCAGACACGGCCCCACCACAGCACAGTGTGGCTCATGGCAGCAACGCAAAGCTGAGCCCCTTTGTCCGCCTGGCTGCTCCCCCAGGGGCATGGAGATCCATGTGGGCTTCACCTCCTCATGCCAGCCACTGCAGAGATGACATTGTGGATCCTAGTTATGGTCAACATGTTGGCAATGGAGGCCACACCCCGACCCTCTGCAGAGATCTGAAAGCATCAAGGAACAAAGGCTAGAATAAATCCCCCAAGGAATCTCTTTGGAAGCGGAGTGTGTCAATGGGCTGGTGGAAATGGACTCTTCCCTCCATCTCAATCTGGCTCAGTTACCTGAAAAATCTGACTTCTTGCCTTGAAACCCCCACCCCCGTGTCACCGTGTGTGTCTGCCAGCCCAGCCCATTGAGTAGGGGAGAGCCGCCTGATCTCTCCACTGCTGCCCCTTGCATACCCGATGTGCCTTGGATCCATCCAGCAGCAGCTCAGCTGTCGGCACCTGCCTTGTCCCCAGCTTCTCCTTTAGCCTTTGCACCTCAATGCCATTCAGCTTCCCCTCCTTATCTCGCACCTCCAAGAAGAACAGGGACAGGCCTCTGGAGCCCTATGTAGAAGCACATGTGAGAGATCCCTTCACTGCAAGGAGTTCTACACAGGCTGAATGAGGAGTATTTGGCTGTGATGAAGAATGGAAGGGGAGGAAAACAATTTCTCTGACACCTTCCCGGGCTCCACTGGGAAACTGACCTGTTCTACACGTCCCTGAGCATCCATGATCCTTGCCAGGGTCAGCGTCATGTCTGAATCAGTGGCTGATGTAAACCATTTAAATCCGTAGAGGCTATATGTGCCATCTGGCTGCTCTCTGGCCACTGACTCTGTGCCACTAGCTGCAAGAAAAGAGCACAAGATCTTGACTTTAGGGGAAGCATCTGTGACAGGCAATTCTGGCTTGTGGCTTAAGCAGCACCTCTTTGCTCTGCGCTGTCAAGATGAAACACGGATCAGCAACTAATCCTCTTCACTGTCCTTGGGTGAAGTGCAACCAGGGTGAAATACTCACACCTCCATAGAAAAGGAGCCCAGCTAGAGTGTTAGCAGCCCAGAGCAATTGCTCCAGGTTAACAGCAAATACTGGCAGCACTGATAGGAGAGGAATGAGCATGGCTTATAGGCACAATGATGCAACACTACCACGGCTCCCATTCCATCAAGAATGGCAAGAGGCAGTCTGTACCCAGGAGCCCTGCAGTCTTGCCTCGCCCAACAGTGTTCACTCTTCAGCTGGCCCTTTAATTTCTCCCAGCAGGGAATTACACCTAACCTTCCAGGATCCTGCTGAGGGGAACACTCCCCTCCCAGAGTCCTCTGTCTCCAATATGCAGCACTGAGGTTTCCCTGCATCCTTAAAGCCCCATATCACCAACATTTGCTTGGGAACAAGAGAGGAGGACTAGCATTTGAAACAGGGTCTTCCAGAGTTCTCTGTCCCATCACAACAGATGCTGGCTAGAACACCTCTGCTGCCTGTGTTCAGGGCTGAGCTTCTACAGGTGGGCGCAGGGCATTCTCTGTGGAGGGTCCGTGGCTCTAGACAGCTGAGTGGGTGTGTGGTAGTGGCCTGGAAGATCTGTTTTGTTGTGTGTTGGTGGCAACAGACCATCTGGGGGCGCAGGGGGTGTCAGATGCATGGTTTCCCTTGGTTTTAATCCACTACATGGTTTTGAAAACAGCCCCAATTGTTTTACGTTATTGTTAACACGGCCCACTGTGGTCTTATCGGCCTTGTCAGTTATTAAAGAAATGCGGCCATACAGAGCGCTGCCACTGGAGACGCTTTCAACCTGTGACACTTACCGACATCAGAGCCTCCTTTGCGTTCCGTCATCCACTGGCCAGAGGTCCAGAACTTCTTGGGGTCGCGTGATGTCAGGTGGCCAAAAGCTTTCGCTAGGGGCCCGGAAATACCCAGAGACTGTTGGGGGGGAAGAAAACCAAGAATTTCTTGAGAGAAAGATCCAGAAAGGCCATCTACATATTTCACTGACCACACTCATGGAGGGGGTGGGGAGAGGATTCCACCTTCCTCTGAGGCATCAGAGATCAGCCACAGCTAGAGACAGGATACCAAACAGGCTGGCCCAGCTCTCTGAGGTGGTACAGAGAATCCTATTTCCAGATGCCTGGCTGGTGGGTCTTGCTCACGTGCTCAAGGTCACACTGATATCTAGAGTTGAGGTTGGAAAGGAGTTTTTCCCCAGGTGAGATTGGCAAGGGCCTTGGGTTTTTTTTCCACCTCCTTCTGCAGCATGGCACATGGATCACCTGTTGGGACCACCTGGGCATATCCCACCTAATCAATTTCCTGCTATTGCAGGGCCTCAGGCACTGGTGGCATTTCAGTGTCTCCTGTTCTCTCACTGTGACACACAATTTAGGACTGAAATGCTTTAGTCTAAGTAAAGTCTCCATAGAGGCATCTCTGGGTGGTGATGGCGGTCTGGGACATACAGGAGGTCAGACTAGATGATCTAATGGTCCCTTCTGGCCTTAAACACTGTGAAACAATTGCCTTCACAAGCTGCAGAGGGTCATCCAGGAACCTGTCCCTGGGTCAGAATAGGCAAACTCCAACCAGGGCAGGGAATCTTTCAATGTCCTGAATTGCTGTGTGTCTGGTGACTGCTGCAGAGAGTCTCAGAAATGGCCCAGCGTGTCCATGGGGAAGGGCTGACAGTAGCATTGTACAGAGATAAGATCCAGACTCCATTACACAGGGACATGTCCTGGGAGGTGCTGAGCGCCTTCAGCTCCCCTTGACTTCAGCACCTCTAGAGATTTGGCCCAAGAGTTTCCCCAGCAGCCTGTGCACCGGGGTACAATGTACATCACCAGCACACAGCAAGCTGGAGGGAGGACAAGGCCCTTAGGATTATTTGCTCACTGTACAAAGGCCAAACTATGCTGGTGAGCTCAGGGCCTGATTCTCCCCTGCTCTGTACCTTGTGTAGGCACAGACACCTGTGCAAACCCAGCCAAATCCTCAGCCCAGGAAAGTCAATGGAGCTCAGCTAATTACACCAGTTGAGGATCTTGCCATGGCGTTTAGCACCCACTTTGCACAAGTGTAAGTGACTGAAGGGGGGAGGGATAGCTCAGTGGTTTGCGCATTGGCCTGCTAAACCCAGGAATGTGAGCTCTAATCCTTGAGGGGGTCATTTAGGGATATGGGGCAAAAATCTGTCTGGGGATTGGTCCTGCTTTGAGCAGGGGATTGGACTAGATGACCTCTTGAGGTCCCTTCCAACCCTGATATTCTATGAACAAGGTGCAAGGAAATGGAGAATCAGGGACTCGTGGCCTTGAAATGAAAGTGGCTGGAAGGCCATTTATTATTTGCATTACAGTAACAGCTAGAGCAGTGGTCACCAATTGGTCAATCAACTGGTCCATCCTAGAGAATCTCCCAGTCCACCCTAGCCATGCTGCCTTTGCAACGAATGCAGACACCTGCAATGAAATGGCCTGTGCTGATGAGTGACTAGCTGCATTCTTACCTCAATGACTTTAGCTGCTCCATCAGTCATGGCCAGCGGGCAGGTGAAGAGGCCAGCAGAAGGTGCATATAGGTATAGCTTGGCAACCTGTTGCACACGGCTACCAAAAAAAGAAATCAGGGATAAACATGCCCCACAGCAATTCAGCTGTAGCAAGGAGAAAGGTTCCCAATATGGAGAGAGAAGTGGGTGCAGCCATAAAAACTGGAGAGTATCAGGGCTACCCAGCTCTGCGAGAAGAGGAGGAACAGTCTCCAATCCAAACCAGTCTGTGACAGAGTGAGCAGGAACCAGAGTCCTGGCCCAAAGGCTGGTAGAACCAGGACACAAATGAGCCCCAGGCTTGTGCCCTGGTAGATAGCATGCAGTGAGTGCAGTTCTAGAGCACGGTAATAACTGAGAGCTCTCTCTTGGGGCTGGAGCTCCTCAAAATTACTGGTGAGCCAGATCCAGCCCTGTTATTCCAGTTTTATGTCAGGGTATTCCAGCGCAGTGTGTGTGTGTGTCAAGCTGGAGTGTGTGGGTGAGTTAGGCCCCCGGAGCGATGAAGGAGCATGGTGACATGATAGAAGATTATGAAAAATTATAGGCAGTGAGGACTGATTGATAATGAGGTGGTGTGTTACAGTGGGCAGAAACACTGCTGTTCTTTCTGGCGGGGTAGGGGTGAGTCTGCCTATACAGCATTTATTACCCATGAGAAGACAGGGGACCCAATCCTGTGATGTGCTGAACATCAACCTTCGAAGCTTAACCTGCAAGAGGTGCCCAGAACCATGCACAGGATTGGGCCCTAGAAGGTGCACATGCCTGAGACTGTGGAGTGGTTCTGATACCCATATGGTTACCTCCAGATGGAGTATTTCCTCTCGTAGGCCTCAGCGATCAGCCCCTCCTCCGCTGCAATCTCCTTCATCCTCTTCCAGGCTGGGCAAGTGACAATGTGGTCCACACGCTGCCCCCAAGCATCATAGTGCTGCAGTGCAGGAGGATTCAACTCGCACTCACGCCCCAGAGAGTCAATCTCGGCCGCCACACGGGCCCCAAACCTCTCCAGATCCAGACTCACCTTCTCCAGCACCTGCAAGGCAGCCCCAAGGAGACCTCAGAACACACTCAGTGGGGTGAGGAACCTGCAGGCAGTCCCTGAAATATCTGTCAAAGCAAAGGATGGAACCTGTTCCTGGATGGCACTAACCATCTCTTTGCCCACCCTGTCCCCTCTGGCCTGCTCCTTTGATGGCATCTCTTCCGAGTTGGGACAGCAGCCTCTCTCTTAGCCTGGGATCAGAGTGTCACTCCACTGTCACACTGCCTCCATGCTCTCCTCTCGCAAAGCAAATCACCCTGGCTGCCCCTCTGGATTTTCCAGAGGACAACAGAGCTTTAACATCCACCAGGCCCTGAGAGAGCAGCACACAGGCAGTCGTTTACTGACAACAGGGACCCTAGCAGGAGAGTCTGCCAGCGCCATCTGGAGAGGAAGGAGCAGTTACCACTCCATTTGACAAGGAAAGGAAGATGGTTCAGTAGTTTGGGCCCTAGCCTGGGACTTGGGGAACCTAGGTTCCATTCCCAGCTCCGCCAGTGACTCCCTGTGTGGACCTGGACAAGTCACTTCTCCCTGTGCTTCGGTTCCCATCTATAACATGGGGATCAGGCTGCCCTATCTCACAGAAGTGTTGTGAGGCTAAGTACTGCCAAGCTTGTGAGACACGCTGGTACTAGGGTAGCTGGGACTGAGCCTCCTAGCCAAGTCGCTGGAAGCCCATCAACTGTAGGAGCCAAGGGTGACAACTTGCTGTCACCAGGGGAAGGAGCTCCAGAGACAAACCAGAGAGGAAGCCAGGAGAGATCCCAAGACACTGTGACCCCAATGGAAGTACAGATACCAGGGATAGGAAGTAACTTGGGGGTGTAAATAAAGGTACCAGACCCTAGGCCACGGATATGGTCTACGTTAGAATCCAGTGGAGTAGGGTGAGCCTGGGTTCCCCTACCCCCTGCCTTGGGACTACAGTCACTAGGCAGAGCGGATCTTGACTCTTGCCATTGGGCAATGATACTGGGGACTATAGCCACTAGGCAGAGTGGCCTTGGACACTTGCCACTAGGTGGTACTGCCAGCTTGGGGCACCCAGGCAGCCCCTGACAAGGGCCTCTTAGGGCCAGGTGGCTTCCATGACCCCCAAACAGGCCTGTGCCTTACAGGCACAGTCTAAGAATCCAAGTTGCATGTGCTTCACTGTTCTGGAATTTGCTTTGGAAATACAAGAGCCCTGGGTCTCGGTAGCTGTTAATCTCAGTTGAGAAGCAGAGCATGACCTCACTAAGCAAGTCTCCAAACACTGCCAGGCATCTAACTAGGCAGGGACATTGGAGGTAAAACATGATTGTGAGCTTGCAGCAAACCCAAAGTGCACTGCTCTGTTCACCTCCAAGTAACAGTGCCCCCCTCCCCCGCCTTCCAGGAGGGAGAGACCGGCAACCTGCCTGGTAATTTACATGCACTCCAAATGGACCTGCCACAATTAGCTTTGTAATTCAGGATGTTGCCCAAGAGTTCTAATAGGCTCTTTGCCTACCACCTGGTAGAAAGAGATCAGTGCCCCTGCATTTGTGACCACAGAATATAACATCCCAGCAGCATCTTAATGCTGCTCTTCCACTAGGATCATCCACTAACCATCTAGTACAAAGCAGAATCCACTAACTGCCATACAGCCTCATTCAGTGCTTAACCGTATTAAGTGCTCGGACAGCCCAATAGTTGGTGTGTTAGAAATGCTTTAAGACAGAGATGATAGAGAGGTGATCCCTTATGCTACAGGGCATTTTACAGAGAGATGGAGGAGTTCTCTCTTTCGGTGATGGGGAAGCTCAGCAATGCAGAAACCAAGTGTTCACAAATCTGTATCATCACTTCTACAGTCAGACCTGTTTCCACCACTAGAAACAGAAGAAGCTTCCCTAGAAGGAGATGGGCTCACCCAGCACCAACAATAAGCACACATAGGAACACAGGACTGGAAGGGACCTCTTGGGTCACCGAGTCCAGATCCCTGCTATTGCAGGCAACCTCATTATATAATCCTGATGAGAAACTTATCAAACTCCATTTTAAGACTAGTTAGGTTGTTTGGCCCCACTACTCCTATTGGAAGGCTGTTAAATTCAATGGTAGCCATCATGTTTTCTTTGCATTGAAAGAAGACATTTAAGCTCACAGCTGGGAGCTACAGGGGACTTGATTGCAGCTGGACTTTGCAGCCAGAGAGAACATGCACTTTCTTCCAGTTGCCAGAAATCGTGTTAGAGTACCTGGAATCAACAGATCTTCTACCACCACCACCACCCTAAGAGCATTCTTTGTTAATCACCTCTGAACACAGCTGCATGGGGACTCAGGCTCCAGTGTGGTATTTGGATGGCACATGCAGAGCTTCACACACTCCTGTACAATTTCCTGACTCATGCAGCAATCACCAGACCCCTGTTGCGTTAAGTAAGGGGTCTTTAGGCTTGGATCTTCCCTTTCAGTGGTGGGACAACACTGCCTCTCTGTGGCCAAATATGTAACTGTATGAAATATCTTGCAGCGATTTGCTGGATACTGTCCCAGCCACTTTCTCTCTTCAGAGGAGAGCTCTCACACCAGGGGATACACATCAGAATGAAAGCATGAATCCATCCGCTCTTCAGGGGGCTTCAAAATATTCTTGCCACAGGTGCCAGTAAAGAAGGTGTTCATGTTTAACCAGGGCATCCTCCTTCTCAGGCCCTGTTCGTACACCTGATCTGGCAGCATTGTTGCAATGCTGTCTTTGTGACACCTCATCCTTCTCTTTAGCAACAGGCACAGCTGTCAAAAAAGCAAGTCCCCAAAGCAGCCATTGCAGTGTTACAGACACAGGACTATGGCTTTATGGCAGGGTCAAGCGAAAGAAGAGACCAAACAGTGACAGAAAGAGCTTCAGATCAATCACTGAGGGCCAGATTCTGCCACCCTTTTCACCCTGAGTAATACCTAGCTTTAGAAGCAATAAGATGATAGCAGTGGAACAAATCAGAGTCAGGTGCTACTCAGCATGGGTAACGATGGAAGGATCTGGCCCCCAATAGCTGAAAAACTACAATAGCCTGTGGAGCCAGTGCATGCCCCCTTTCATAGGAGGAATAAGCCACACCCCCATTCCTTCTCTGTCCCATCCCCAAACTTCACTGGGGGTTCCTACAGAGCTGAGCTCCATGATACAAAGAGACCATCGATCACCCTGCATAAGGTCTGGAAATCCAGCCCCCCCTCTGCAGTCACCCCATACAATGCCAAGCTCTGGCCTTATTGTCCAAGGGCCAACACAAAGCCTAGTGACTGATATTGCAGGAGGGCAGACACAAGAACTCCTGATCATTCATTCCAGTGGCAGACTGAAATGGACACATTCTTCTTCCTGAGGGGAACTTCTTTAAGTGCCCCGCTCACAAAGTGTAGTTAAATTAAGAGCAAGAGAAACAGAATGGCTTAGCAGGGTTTGTAGGCAGCTCATCCTTGAGCTCTACATCAGACCCCAGCGTAGCAGTTAACATAGAATCATAGGACTGGAAGGGGCCTTGCTAGGTCATCTAGTCCAGTCCCCTGCACTCATGGCAGAACTAAGTATTATCTACATGTATTACTACCCTGAGGTAACTGCAGTGACAACAGAGTCATAACAATCAAGACATGATGGTCTTCCAATCCCTTCCCATAAGTCCCGTGACCAGAAATCAATCGCTTCTCCTCTGCTTTGTCGTTTCTTCAGCTTCACACAACTCTGGTGTTTGACATGGGGAGAGGGATAGCTCAGTGATTTGAGCCTTGGCCTACTAAACCCAGGGTTGTAAGCTCAATCCTTGAGGGGGCCACTTAGGGATATGGGGGCAAAATCAGTACTTGGTCCTACTAGTGAAGGCACAGGACTGGACTCAATGACCTTTCGGGGTCCCTTCCAGTTCTATGATATAGGTATATCTCCATATATATTTTTTTACAACTATGTCCACTATCAAGTCTGTGCAGGAGCCTGCAGCTACCAGAGCAGGCAGACAAGTTGTCCCACAACATCCTGAAAATGTGAGCATACAGCAGCACAGAGAGATGTGGTGCTGTGAACCCTGGGATACATGCCCAGATAGCTGCGTTGTTTGTCATAGCCAGATGCAGCACCAGTGTTGATGGGGGGCATGACAACACAACAATGTGGTCGTCCTGTCGCGGGTTAGGCTACCATGGGTTAACTTAGCCCCTGATTGTTTACTCCATGCTTGGCATGCAGTGAAGGCATTGATAGCCTAACAGAACAGAGGAGTCATGTCTCACCCAAACCTACCCAAAAGACTCTGTTAAACCCTTTTCACTTCTGCTGGAACATGCTCATGTCCCATCACTATTTTTCATCACAACTTCAAGACAAATGAATGGATAGTCAGAAAGCACCAGTAATCCACCTGTGCTTGATATATGGTTCAGCAATAAAGGAGCTAAGGGATCAGTGATATACAGGGTTTTCACTCTGCAGCAGGAGAGCTGGAACAATTTGGATAGTGCGGGTAGGGTGACCAGACGTCCCGATAAAATCAGGACTGTCCCGATATTTCGCACTCCTGGTTTGTTTGCTTTTGCTCCGCCGGCAGGACGCTGCTTTCTTTTCCTTTTTTTTGCTCCGCCGGCGGGACTCCCCCCCATGTGTCCCGATATTTTCTTCATCCCATCTGGTCACCCTAAGTGGGGGTGCTGAGAGCCATTGAACCAAACTGTAAACCCTCAATATAATGGAAACCACTTCAAGCCAGTGGGTGGAGCAGCACTCCCAGCACTGCAAATTCCAGCACCTATGCTCTGCAATGCCCATAGACTGAAAAGGTGTCCACAGTCTCAGCAATAGGGAGTTGTACTGCACACACAACACATACACACACAGGTCAAACCTGGAATGGCAGGTGTGTTTTCAAGTAACGCTGAAGAAAAGCATCTTCTAGGTACTGGTTTCCAATCCTGGGTTGCTCTTGGAAAAAGGTCCCAATTTCAGTCCTGGCAAAGGGCACCTTCAGCTCTTGCAAGGTGCATTTGTCCCAGGTCTCAGCTTTCTGACTCTGATCTGCAGACATCTTGGTTCCTCTACAGCTCAACTTTGGGCACTGAGGCAGGAAGCAGCCCAGCTTCCACAGCTTGTGATTGGTGCCAGGGCTCCACGTAGGTAAGCGACTGACAAGCCTGACCCTGCAAAACATGAGAGTGGGTTAGTCCAATTGCTGGTGTTCAGAACTGCCCTGGGTTCAATACTCAGTCCACGACTGTGTCTGCATTTAATCGCAGGATCCCTTCAGTAGCTCAGGAAGGAACTCTTCTTGTTTCCCCTCCCTCTGGGGTTGGGTTTCCAGCAGCTACTGGCTGCATAGTGGAGGAAAGGTCAGGGGGAGGGAGAAGAGAGAAGCACCAATAAGGGTGCATGTGTGCAACATTTATGCTGGCTCTTCTTGCCTGTCTGTCAAATCACTGATTTGAACCCGCCTATTCGTGACACTCCCAGAGCTGGGGAAGCCACATGAAGTTCTCAGAGCTGGGGACTACCGAGAATAGTATGTGATGTGATAGTCTGCAAATAAACAAAGTACACACAATTAGAGAGATGAAGAGGGGAAATACCACCACCAAGGTACTGAACCAAAACCCCATCCTCAGCATTAACTTGTTCCCAGGCATGTTGGCCTGTTTCTTGGGGCTCTGTTGTGGTAGCACAGGTTTTTGCATCTTCCCCTGTAAGAGTTCTATAGCTGGGAATGAATTTGATTAGCCCACTCTGACTTCAATACAAAGGGAAAGGCCTCTGTAGCACATTCCCCATTTAACTGACCTATGCATAGGGATCTGGGCTGGTCGGCCAAGTCACAGAAAACACAAAAGAAACAATGTAGTTTTTGGTGACATTAGCTGCTCCAGCACTGAGCAGGTGGTTCTAAATAACATCTGAGCCTCAGATAACAAAGGTGAGAAGACAGAGACTGTGCTCACCACAGTAGAGGGTGCTGAAACAAAATGTGTGTCCCATTCATTCCATCTCAGCATTTTCCGGGCTAAGCACCCAACCACACAATGCTGCAGACATTCATCCTGTGGTGCTTAGGGAAGACATGGAAGGAATACTGTAGGGCGACCAGACAGCAAATGTGAAAAATCAGGATGGGGGTGGGGGGTATATAGGAAAAAGACCCCAAAATTGGGACTGTCCCTATAAAATCGTGACATCTGGTCACCCTAGAG